GATAATTGATTAAACTAAAATAAAAAAAATATAAATAAATAAATAAATATAAATATATAAATTATAATATAATATAAATATATAAATATAAATAAATAAATAAATATAAAATAAAAATAAAATAAAAAAATTTGATTACTAATATAATAGTAATAGTATAATTTTTTTTTCATTTTTATTAATTTTTAATGCAACTATACATGGTTATCGAACGTTTCATCTCGAAATTCTGTGAAACTGATATTATTTGTAACGTTTGCTTAATGTTTCAAAATGATGACATTAATTGCACTAAAAAATTGAAATTTAATTAAATTAAATTTAAAAAAGATTAAAATTAATAAAAGTGCAAAGGGTTAATACGAATCATCGGCGATCGGAACTTCAAGCGACAGTATCTCGTAAATGAAAAACACGTGACTCGCAGCGTCCCTCCTCGCAGCTGCAGAATTAACCCCTTCGCACTGCTTTTTGTTTTGGGTAAACAGCACTTCTTCTTTGTTAATAAATTGTTATTCGAGATGGAGGTTTTATATTTTATGTATTTTCCGACTTATATAACTTTGAATTATTTATTTATAATTACTATATTTATTATACTTATTCAGAATTATAATTTAATTATTAACAATCGAAAAGCAGAATCTCATTTTGATTTATATAACCTTGAATTATTTATTCATAATTATTACATTTATTACATTCTCTCATTCAGAATTATAATATAAATTATTAACAACTGAAAATCTCATTCCGATTTCAAGCGAAGAACATCCAGATTCAATTATGCGAATCGAATTAGTCCGAAATCTTCGCATAGAGTCCTCCACCAATATCATATCATCGCGAAGTGTTTAACAATATCACTCGCCCGTTTATGTCAACCGGACGAAAATTCGTCGCACAAATAGCCAAAGAGCCAACGCGCAACCATTCTCCGCCGGCAGAAAAACGCGCGCGGGCGAACGAACTCACGAAGATTTCCTAATTCGAGAATCGTCGCCGCAAAATTCGAAAAAAATCCACGTCTCCGTATCGGCGTTTTCCAAAACGATCATCTGCTCGAGAAACTATCCGCGACGGTAAAAACCCCCCAAAATATACGACGACACGGCACGGTGAGCAAGGATACGTCGCCGCGACGCGACGCGCAGGATACGTCGCCGGATCCGTTCGCGAAAGCGCAGCGATCCCCGCGAAGCGATGCTGGAATCCGCGGCGGCGGTGAATGGTGGAGACGGTGGTGTGCTGCGCACCATGGTCGCAGCCCGTTTAAGGAAAATGGATGACAACGGTGGCGCCGCGGCCGGCCAAAATTCGAACGAAAGCTTGCGCTGGAACCGCGCAGATCGTCCTCAGTAGTTGCCCAGACGCTGTCACGGGCGTAGCTGGATGCTGGATTGTCTCTCTCTCTCGTGCGCGCGCGTGCCGCAGGGAGGTGCTTCCTTTTCTTCTTCCTCTTCCTCCTAACCTCATCCTACGTCGCGGTTCCGTCGTCGGCGGAAAGCAAAAGGTGGACGCTCGGCGGTGGACGTCGTTCCAACGGTGTGCACAAAGCGGATATCGCGACAGGCTCCTCCGCTCGGTCGTCGTCGTCGTCGTCGTTGCCTCGTGCCGGAGACGAGATAGAAGAAAGGGTGCCGGAGAAAAGGGAGGCCGAATACCAAGGTTTTCCTGCCGGTTCGGGGGAGCTAGAGCGAGAGAGAGAGAGAGAGAGAGAGAGAGAGAGAGACGAGGGAGAGAAAAGAGAAAGGAAGAAAGATCGAGCGGAAGGATAGGAGGGAGAGAGAGGGAGAGAGAGAGAGAGAGAGGAAAAGAGGGGGTAGGGTTTGGATCGACGAGGAAAGATAACCGAAAAGGGAGCAAGCGAGAAGGAGACAGAGACCGGTAGAACAAGAGTGATGATAAGANTGCTGGAATCCGCGGCGGCGGTGAATGGTGGAGACGGTGGTGTGCTGCGCACCATGGTCGCAGCCCGTTTAAGGAAAATGGATGACAACGGTGGCGCCGCGGCCGGCCAAAATTCGAACGAAAGCTTGCGCTGGAACCGCGCAGATCGTCCTCAGTAGTTGCCCAGACGCTGTCACGGGCGTAGCTGGATGCTGGATTGTCTCTCTCTCTCGTGCGCGCGCGTGCCGCAGGGAGGTGCTTCCTTTTCTTCTTCCTCTTCCTCCTAACCTCATCCTACGTCGCGGTTCCGTCGTCGGCGGAAAGCAAAAGGTGGACGCTCGGCGGTGGACGTCGTTCCAACGGTGTGCACAAAGCGGATATCGCGACAGGCTCCTCCGCTCGGTCGTCGTCGTCGTCGTCGTTGCCTCGTGCCGGAGACGAGATAGAAGAAAGGGTGCCGGAGAAAAGGGAGGCCGAATACCAAGGTTTTCCTGCCGGTTCGGGGGAGCTAGAGCGAGAGAGAGAGAGAGAGAGAGAGAGAGAGAGAGAGAGACGAGGGAGAGAAAAGAGAAAGGAAGAAAGATCGAGCGGAAGGATAGGAGGGAGAGAGAGGGAGAGAGAGAGAGAGAGAGGAAAAGAGGGGGTAGGGTTTGGATCGACGAGGAAAGATAACCGAAAAGGGAGCAAGCGAGAAGGAGACAGAGACCGGTAGAACAAGAGTGATGATAAGAACGGAATAGACTAGTTAACGAGAGAGAGAGAGAAAGAGAGAGAGAGAGAGAGGAGTACAACGGGTACACAGATCGGGAGAAAAGAAATTGCAGAATGTGTTGAGAAGTGTGGTTCTGTGTATATATATATGGTGCAGTGCGGTGCTGTGCTCGAGAGAGAGAGAGAGAGAGGGAGAGAGAGAGAGAGAGGAATGGCGTGGTCGGATTTCGCGTGCACCTCGCCGTGACGTGGAAAGGTAAGGATCTTCTCCCTCCGCCGTTTAGCTTTTCCTCGTCGATGCCGAGACGCGCGGTCGTTAAAGCGCGGATATCGGCGTCTTCCGCGACTTCCGCGTCCCTCGGAGTTAACTCGGAGCCACCACTACCGGAGGCTCTCTCGGAGTTTACGCGAGTCGCGCCGAGTCGCAGCATCTTAGCCGTCGCACACGGCCATCCTTTGGATCGAGTTTCTTACTCGATTGGCGGCGGCGGCGGAGGCGACGGCGACGGCGGTGTCCGCCGACGCCGCGCCGGTAATTGGCTTCGATTCGAGCGATGATCCGTCTGCCGTTGCTCGGTCAGTCGCCGGTGCCGCGTGCGCTTCCGCTTCCGCACCGCTCGGCTCGGCTCGCCTCGACTCGGCTACCGCTCTTAGTAGGTTCCGCTTATCTCTCTTCGCGCTGCGCTTCACTCCGTTGTCTGACTATTGCTCGGCCGCGACTACTGCCACTCGCGAGTCCCTCCGCGCCTCGTTCGTTCCTCTGGCTGTGCATGGCTGGCCCAGGGATAGCCGCTTACGCTGTGCCAGCCTAACCGCTCACCGCTTCGCCCTGATATCGCGTGATCGCGTTAACCGCCGCGGAGCATGAGTCACCGATCTCTACGCTTGCCGCGACGAGACTCGTGGCTCTTAGGACACGCCGGACCGTTTTCGCGATCATGCGATTCCCTGATCGCGGATCTTTTTGTGGAATAGAAATATTTGTTTCAATTTCGTGAAACGAGAGAAACGAAGGAGAATGTGATACATTGTAATTTGTACGTTTATTTTGAAAGTGGCCTAAGTCGAATGCTTTATTGATAGAGGTAACTTTAAGTTGTGCGTGTAACTACATTTGTTACTTCAATTTCAGTAATATTCTGCATCATTTGTTTCGCAAACAATATCGATTGTTTCGTAGTTAATTCGTGTAATTTGTGTATTTAAAACGATAACATCAGCCGGTAAATTTGATAAAAAAAAGGGCACAAATATCGCACGCTCCGAGAGCGTCGTTTAATTTGTTGTTAAAGTTGCATAAATTTTAATAAACAAATTAATTATAATATAATAATAATAATAATAATAATAATAATATGATAATTAAATAAATTTTGTTTATTCGTTTACATGATAACTGCTTATAAATTTCCGCGTGTCTCTTAATTCCTTGTTATTTATATTTTCCTGTAAACAAATGCGAAAAAGAAAAACATTGTTCTTCCTTCGGAATCTGTGCAACGTGAACGAGAATATTATCGATATTTATAACGTTGATAATATACTATATCAAACTATATTACGTTACATAAAATATATGTATATCGATATTTATACACGTTGAAAATATTTGTTCCTTTGATTTCAACGTTAATCACTCGCCAGACACACAGAGATGCTTTTCGTGGCTGTGTGCGAACTTACAACCTAAACCGCTGTTATTTCAAACTACGTAACAACGTACTTTCAGCTACGCAAACATATGTAGATGGGGATAGTCTGATTCTCCATAAGTAAATATACCGATCGGAATTGTTATTCAACCTCGGCTCCTACCCAACAGCAAGTTCCGTTAAATAAGAGCAGGTGTTGAAATCGCTGGGGCTCAGTCTTTGAGAACAAAGTTCGACTGTATTTTAGATTCAAGATAATGCGAGCATCGAACATTTAGCATTATCATAAAAACTTCCAAAAGTTATTATAGAATATTGAGGATAACTTTTCAATCTTTAATAATACACAGGTAATATACAGGTACCAAAATTATGGTATTTCCGGAAAACGTGGAGTTCCTGAGGTGATTTGAAGCAACTTTTTCCTTTGCAAAAATGTTCTCGGAGGCTTCGTTTACGAGTTATTAACGAAAAACGCGTGACCAATGGAGGGCGAGCTCGGCCGGCGCTAGGCGACGCTAGACGGCCGAGCCAATGAGCGGAATTGGGCTTTGCGCGCTCGTTGATTGCGCCGCCGCGCGCTAGCCGAGCTCGCGTCTCCATTGGTCCAGTGTTTTTCGTGAATAACTCGTGAACGATGCCTCGCAGAAAATTTTCCTAAAGGAAAAAGTTGCTTCGAATGACCTCAGGAATCCCTCCATTTCTCGGAAGTACCATAATTTTGGAACACCCTGTATAACTAGTAAATCTCGAAATTTATCGAGCGCATTATGCGATAGTATTCATAACAATAAGTATACTCTTACTGTTTTTAAGGTATTTGCAATATAATCGAACTCCTTCGAAAACTTTTCGTAAAACATATCTCATTTTCAAATACGTTTCACATAATCAGCTCAATCTAAGATATCCCGTGCGCAACGGCGATCCTCCCATGCAAATCTTATTTTTTTCTAAATCAATAAAGATTGACTTTTATTATCCGAACATTCGTATCGCTCTACTGAGATCGGATAATCGAGGTTTCATTTTGTTTACATTATCTTGTGGCAGCGAAGGTGTATAATATAGTAATTTCTTCGGAGCTGTTCTGCTTTAATTAATCCAGTAGAGATTCCCTCATCCGAATATTTATCTACTTTCCATTATTTAATCATTTTATTAATTGCAAATCAAATGCATCGTTGCCTAATAGAGAACTCGAATAAAAATTCTATTATTATTATATTTTTTAGTAATTATATATTATTACCAATTTCCATTTTTTATTATTGAAGAACTCGCGTCTTTCTATTATCTATTAATAATAGATATTTCTGTAATAATTTATTCATATAAATATTTATTACTAACAGATATTTCTACAATAATCTATTCATATAAATATTTATTAACAACAAATATTTCTATCAATAATATTATTATTATATTTTCTATTAATTATATTACTATTATTTCCGAGATGCGTTGCGTTCCGCCAAATAAATAATAAACAACAAGCAAAATCAAACGATAATTAAAAAGTAACAATCGAAATTTGTATTCCTAAACATGCAATAAATTGTACTATCTTAAATAATTTATTATCTACAAAATGATCTATAAAAAAATAATAACCAATTATTTCTTTCTCTTTTATGTAAAATTCCGAACAACAAAAATAACATTCTATTTAAACAATCATTTAACCTTAACATTTCACTTGAACGACGCTTGACTCTGCTCACGTGATCGGGAAGATCGTATCGAATTGATCAACCTAAACGGTGCTCGTCTTTGAAAATGTCAATAATTCTCGGCGGCGAACACGATACCAATGAGATTTCAACAGAATTTGCTTCTCATTGGATATCAGGTTCCGCGGATATCGCGTCCACGTGTTCCAGATTGAACAACGGATTGCGGCGAAGCGGCGCGAGCACCGTTTGCCGGCAGTTTTCCAACCGAGCGTGCTGGCACTTTAAAATGTTTTCCCTGCGGCTTCAGTTAATTCTATTAGAGACATCGCCACCGGACATGACACTCGGACATGTCCGCGAACGTTTCTAGGAGCGGCACCCGCCATAACGGCGGGGAACCATAACTGCGTTATCGCCGTACGTTCGCTGTCCCTTTGTGACGTTGATAAGCACGTGTCGGATACGTGCCACCGAAATTAGAATCTTATTAGCCGGTGCGTCTATTTCTGAATAATTCTGTCGCCGATCTTTTCTACGCACGTTTTACGTTGCCCTTATAAGGCTATAATATAATATTATTATATTATTATATTATTATACTATTATATTATATTATATTATTATACTATTATATTATAATATAATATAGTACTATTATATTATTATACTATTATATTCTAATATAATATAGTACTATTATAATACTATTATATTCTAATATAATGTAATATTATTATATTATAATATACTATAATATAATATTATTATATTATCATACTATTATATTATAATATAATATAATAAATAATAATTAGTATAGAATAATAGTATAATAATATGATAATATTATATTATATAATTTATATATTATATTGTTCTCTTTTGGATACGATTTACTGTCATTATCGCAATATTTTAATCGGTTTTCTATTTATTGTATGAATATATTTCTAGTTTCGAAATCGCCTAACTTTAAGTAAAAAAAAAAGATTAGTGTCTGTAACGTGTATCCAGGACACTTACTTTCCTCTAAAAAAAAATATGATATATGCCAGATTTATGTAATCTTTTGCGAGTGACTGTACGCGCGCGATGAACATATGTTATGCAATTTTTTATTCGTTATCGTATCCATGATGGTAAAAGTAATAGAACGCTGATACTGTAAGTAACTCTCGAGTGTATCTTTATCAAAATTTTTATAATTCTAGGTTTTCGTTACTTTCGTCCCGTAATAACTAGCACTGTGTTATGCGTGCCGTGATAGTTTCATCAGGTATATTAATATTAATTTCAATTATAGTGTATTAATATTAATTATATTATATTATAATAGTATAACAATGTAATAATATTATATTACATTATATTATAATAGTATAATAATATAATAATATTATATTATATTATATTATATTATAATAGTATAATAATATAAAAATAATATAATTTAAGTATTTTATTAGAGCATAGTCTATAGGGGTACATTACGTAGTGTATTTATAAAAGATTATAAATGCTTATAAAATTATTGTTGCACGAAAGCGTAAGTACAGTTTACAGTAAAAGCTCGGGGTTAAACAGAGACCGGAATGAGTTTCTGCATTTATTTGCATGCTTTCGACTGCCTCTAAACAGACCTCGTTGCCACGGCAAAGATTGTGTTGCGTTATACGGTACAGCGATCCGAAGTTGAAAGCCCGGACCCGTTGCTGCTCGGTGTCTCGAACCTCGGACATTAAAAGATCGATACCGTCGGGACCGTGTAAGCCATTTCGATAAATTATCGACGAAGCGGTGGCTTGTCACGCCGGATGATGAAAGATCTCGGTTAAATCGTCTTGAAATTAGCTCGTAGATCACTCCTCCCATCATCTGCCACTCGAAGAGTGTCCGTTGAATGGCCGACGATCGCTCGACGATCC